ATGGCGAGGGGGTCCCCCGCACTCCCATGCTTCATCCTTTCGGCGGGAGTTCGGCAGGGCTGCCACCCTTCCCCGCTACTGTTCGCTGTGCTGTCTGATGCTTGTTATGAGTCGTCTCCAGCGCTTTCTCCCTGATGTCGTCCCGGGCGCCTAAGCTGGCGATCTCGCCGTCGTTTTGGCCAGCGCTGTTGGGGGTGCGCCAGTAGTAGAGTTGCTGTTCGATGAGTGCGAGCGTATCTCTGGCCTCCGATTTCACCGTGCGAAATCGGTGTGGCCCCCGCTAGCGCTCGACCCAGTGGGCGTGATCAGGGCGCAGCTGCAGGCCCGCGCTCCGACTTGGAACGATTTTGCAACATGCCGCTACGCATCCTATCTGGGCTTTGTCGTCGGGCCGGAACGGGCGGAACGGTCGTGGCCAGAGCCCCTGGACAAGTTTGTTGCTTGGTGGATTCTTCATGAGTTTGTTGGCTTACCGCATTTGCGTGTTCCCCGTGGTCACGTTCCTCTGGCAATTCGACGACCTGCCATCGAATTGGGGCGCAAATGAAAACCTTGCCTGTGCTGTGCTCTTCCCTGGTCCCCGTGGCTGGGCGCCTCCAGACGTGTTGCGGGATTTGTGGTCCATCGGCCTTGCCGCGGAGCTGGCGAGCGCCCGCAGCATTTCCACGGCATCCAAGTGCAGAGTGCATCGTTGGGAGAACCACGAGCGCGTGAGCGGCGTCTTCGCGTGCTCATCCAGGACTCCCAGCACATTTTCCGCAGAGCGACGTGAACGCGTGGTACGAATCGAATTTCTTGTCCAACCTCCAGGCCGCAAGCAACACATAGCACGCGAAAGCGCGCTAGGCCGGCGCGTCGGTCGACGAGCTGGTCCAGGGGGGCGCTCGCGGGCCCACGCCCCGGGAGCGCTGGCAGAAGCAGTGCAAGATGAATTTTCGCACCCCGCAGCCGGAGTGCGTGCGTCGGCACTTGCGCCGCTGCTTGGGCCGACCACCCATGCGTATTCTTCCAGGTCGTCGCGTGGGCAGAGCGATTGCCATGCTGCGCGGGCTGGCGCGCTTGCTGCCGCCCCGTGCTTGGGCTCGCGTTTTTGGCGCCCCTTGCAGTGGGTGGGCGGCGAGCCGACGCGTGCAGCGCAGGGCGCCCTGCTGCTTCGGCTGCGGCGCCGGCGAGGACCGTCTTGAACGCTGCAGTTGTTGTGGCCGGGTCGCCGCGCTCGAGTCGCCTCTCTCTGAGCGCCTCGCTTCTTCCCTCCTCCTCTCCCCTGCTTTTTTTCCGATCGCACTTCCAGCGAGCTCGCGCGACGAGCACTCGCATCTTATAGCTTTTACGCGGCAGCCGACGCCGCGCGCCACGGTTTGACGAGTGACGCCACTGAGGTTATGGCGCAATTTGCGCGCGCGAGACCTGCGCGGGACATGCTGGCCTTGCGCCCCTAATAGCAGCTACTTGGCAGAGCTAGCCTTCTCCTCTTCCTCCTGCTCCTCCGTCCTCTTCCTCCTCTCCCCTCCCTCGCTCCTTCTGAGTGTGTTTTAGTCTTCGTTTGGGAGTTCTCTTTCCCTGGCTACTGCCAGGCAGCCATAATGGTTGCATTCCGCGCCTCCGCCTCTCCTCTCCTTTGCTTTCCTCCCGCCCGGGTCCGGGGCGACCCGGTTTTTGCTTGTTTGTCAGGATTCTAGAAAATGTAGATATTTGCGCTTTTATTGCGGCCTCGGCGCTTCGAAGCGCTTGAGGGAGGTGTCTGATGAACGGCATTCGATTGGGATCCCGTCCCCGATGATACGTTTTTGTTGGAGTTCGTGTCGCTCGGGCGGTGGATTTGTGTGTCGCGTTTTCTCGTTCGAGTGCTTGTCGATATTTGTCTTGCGGGCTTGCCGTTGTCTTCCTTAGGCCGTCCTCATAAGATTGCTCCACTTAAAGTTGAGCGTGCCGATCGCCGGAGACTGCGGTGACATTAACCCGGCCGGCCAATCGAGCACGATCGTTCTTTGTTGTGGACGGGTATAGCCCCCATGAGGGGAAACGGATTTGCCTTGGGGGGGTGCGGAAAAAAAAAAAAACAGAAACGCCCCCCCCCCCCCCCCCTGAGCCGCGCACGTGGTCATGATTTGCGCCTCCCCCCCCCCCCCTCTTGGACGCCCCTCCTTTTGGCCGCCCCCAAGAGGTGCGAGACCTTTCCAGCCAATTTGGGGGCGTCCATCGAATGAGTTCGAAGCAGCATCAACATAAACTTTTGGCGCTCCGCGCGGACTTTTTGGGTCCGCGCTGGGCCCCGCTGGCGGCGCCTCCGGCGCCGCCCTTGGCGCGCTTCGCGCGCCACGGAGGGGTGTCCAGCGTGGGTCCAAGACATCCGCGCGGACCCCCAAAATTTTAAGTTTATGTTTTTTTTTGGTTTTCAAACCCAAGATCGCCGAGCGCGTTCCGCTACCCGCAAAGTGCCTGCTCCAAGAAAACACATGTGTTCTTGTATGCAGGGGGCGGTAATCCCCTGCGGCGGATCCAGGTCATTTGCGAGCAGCTACTCTGCGAGTGGCGGGGCGCGCTTGTCGACAAGAGCGGGGCGAGGCCAGGGGCGGTAGATATATTCCGGGGCCCAAGACGCCTGCCTTCTGCAACTGCCCCTTGCCGCCCGTTGTCCCCCGGGCCATTTACGAGGACATCGATGCACGGAGGGGGGCTCCTCAATGAGCGTCGCTTTCCAAGGGGCCACAGTGTGGCCAGAACGTTCTTCGCCGAGGCCATATGTATGCTCCAGCCCGTCGCGAGCCCCCCTCCGGACCCAGGGGGGCGGTACAGTTGAGGCCCATGCCAAGAAACACCCCTCTTGCCTTTGCTATGAAAAGCGTGACGCTCCCACACCAGATAGTGGATGGGTGTCCTGGGGTCTCTGGGTTGGGTTTCTTGTAGAAGGTTTCTTGTGGTCGAGCCCATATTGCGGTGGAGGGGTAGGCCCCCCTCCTCCGCGCACGTCCTTTGGGCCATGGTCCGCGGCCCCTTGTCTTCCTGGGCCCGCCTTGTCAGCACACCCTGGGCCATGCGCGTCGGTCCTTGCGATCTCACTTTTTGGAGTCTCGGGCACCTCGCGGCGTGACGCCATCCGCCCCCCTTCCGAGGGGGAAGCGCAGGGGGGCTTGCACCGATGCGCAAAAACGCGATAAACATACACTTTTGGCGCTCCGCGCGGATTTCTTGGATCCGCTCTGGGCCCCCTCGACGGCGCCTCTGGCGCCAACCCTGGCGCGCTCCACGCGCCAGGGAGGGGTTTCCAGCACAGATACAAAAAGTCCGCGCGGAGTGCCAAAAGTTGATGTCCATGCCGTTTTGTTTCTTCTTCGATTCCAGGCGCCTTCATGTTGGGCTGAAGAGACTCCAGAGGCTTCCAGCGGCCGCCAGAGTCTCCAGCCTACAGTGGAGACTCATGCCAAGAAACACCCTGCTTGCCTCCAGGGTGCCCTGGGTTTCTTGGGTTTCGATGGTTTCGCTGTGGAAAGCGTGACATTCTGGATGTCCTGGGGTCTCAGGGCTGGGTTTCTTGTGGAAGGTTTCTTGTGGACTGGCTTCCACTGTAAGAGCCCCCTGTTAGCTAGGGGTCCTTAGGCGGTGTGTGTGTGTGTGTGTGTGTGTGTTTGTGTCTGTGTCTGGGTCTGGGTCTGGGTCTGTGTGTGTGTTTCGATGGTTTCGCTTTGGAAAGCGTGACGTTCCCACACCAAAAAATCGATTGGCGTCCTGGGGTCTCAGGGTTGGGTTTCTTGTGGACGGTTTCTTGTGGGGGGGCCCCACTGTAGTCTCCGGGGCCCGTGCATCCAGGAGCTTCCCAGGAATCTGCAGGGGCCTCCAGGGAGCCCCTCCCGCATCACTCTGCCAGAGAGGGTACCTCGGTGCGCTGGGGCAGCGGCGGGCGGCCAGGTGTGCTCTGCGGATCGTTTTTTTTTTTTTTTTTTTTCTTTCTCTCTCTCTCTCTCTCTTTTTGTTCTCTGTCTCTCTCTCTTTCTGGTTGTCCTGGTGTGCCGCGGCGGTATGGTCGCGGTCGCCATGGGCTTCAGGTCGCAGACGCCATGGGGGTCCCGTTGTTGTGGCCCGACCCTTGCTGCCCACTGCGGTTTCCTTCAGCGACCAGGTCACGATTTGGAGCCCTTTGAGGATCGTCTGGGGTGCCATCTTGGGCTGTCCAGGGGCCAACCTGGGGATGCCTTGGGGCTCTTCAGGGCCTTCTCGAGGTTCTTCTGGTGCGTTTTGGGGCTAACTTGGGGGCCCGCTGGGCGGCCTCGGACGCCCAGAAGACCGAAGAAGAGGTGCCCGAATTTGTAGCACCTTACGATGGAAAATCGATCGCCTGGGCTTGGGGACCTGTTGGGGGTACTTGTTTCTGGTTGGCCCAAAAGGGGGCCCAGCGAAAAGGGGGTGGTGCAAAAGATTTTCGCGCGCAATGCCTTAGATGTATTACAAAGCAAAGCAGCTCTCCGGCGCAATACACTTGCAACACAGTTGCCCCAAACCTATTGCACCACCCCCTTTCAGCTGGACCCCCTTTTGGGTCAACCAACCGTTTCGTCGTCTTGAGGGAGTCGGGGGTGGACAGAACCCCCACCTTGACGCGTCGATCAGTGAATGGGTTCGTTTTCGGGTCTCGAGAGGGCGTCGCGGCCGTCATTTTCCAGGCTTGCGCCCGCCAGGTTTGGGCCTGCGGCCTGAGGTCGTTGTCACCAAGCCACGTTTTACTAAAGGGAGTTATGTCTATCCCCGACTTTTGCGTCGATTCGCGTCGATTAGCGTTTGGGAGTCGATGAGATAGCGCCGATTTAGCTTCGTTGGGCGTTGGTTAGCGTTTATATTTAGCGTCGATTAGCGTCTAGGAGTCGATGAGATAGCGCTGATTTAGCGTCGGTTAGCGTTCACTTATCGTCGGGAAGGAGTGCGGGAAGGGCAGGAGTGTGGGGTGGTGGGGTCGGGGGGGGCGCCCTGCCACTCCTGGTGCTTGGGGGCTCCGGTGCTGCGCTCAGGGCGGCCCGGCGCTCAAGTCCAGCGCGGACATCACGCGCGGCGAGAGGCCTCCCGGGGCGCCGACCGACGAGGAGATCGAGGCCCTGATTGAGGACGCGCCAGGACGAGGAGGAGGAGGAGGAGGAGGAGGAGGAAGAGGAGGAGGAGGAGGAGGAGGAGGAGGAGGAGGAGGAGGAGGAGGAGGAGGAGGAGGAGAGGCGGAGGAGGAGGTGGAGGAGGAGGAGGAGGAGGATGAGGATGAGGATGACGAGGAGGAGGAGGAGGAGGAGGAGGAGGAGGAGGAGGAGGAGGACGAGGAGGAGGAGGAGGAGGAGGAGAGGAGGAGGGGAGAGGAGGAGCAGGAGCAGAGGAGAGGAGGAGGAGGAGGGAGGAGGAGGATGAGATGAGAGGAGGAGGAGGCGGCGGCGGCGGCGGCGCTGGCGGCGGCGGCGGCGGCGGCGGAGGAGGAGGAGGAGGAGGAGGAGGAATAATAATAATAGTTATATCAATAATAATAATAATCATAATAATTATAATAATACTAACAATAATACTAATAATAATACTACTGATAATACTAATAACCAGAAGAAGAAAATAATCATACTACTACTACTGCTACTACTAATAATATTAATACTAATAATAATATTTGTAAAAATAATACTTATAATAAGACGATTGAATACTAAACATACTAATAATAAGAATAATGCGAAGACGAATACGAATAATAATAGTAATATCAAGAGTAATACTAGAACAAGAACATAAGATTATGAATGAAAACAATATTAAGAATAATAAACATAATAATACTAATGATCATAAGAAGACGAATAAGACGGATAATAATAGGAAGAGGAGGGGGAGAAGGAGGAGAAGGCGGAGGAGGAACATATGAGGAGGAGGAGAAGGAGGAGGAGGAGGAGGAAGAGGAGGAAGAGGACGAGGAGGAGGGGGAGGAGCAGGAGGAGGAAGGAGAAGGGGGAGCAGGAGGCGGAAGAGGAGGACGAGGAGCAGGAGGAGGAGAGGACGGAGGAGGTGAAGAGAGCACGGAGGTGTACGCAATGGAGGACGGGGTCATCCATGGGCCCGTTGTTCTGGATCGTGTCTGCCGCGGCCCGTCGGCAGGAGCGCAATGAGGCGCGCAAGGTGGCCAACTTCAAGAAGGCCCCGATGCCGGGTGCCGCCCCCCTCTCTGCCTCGTCAAGTCCCCCCTCCCCCTCCTCCTTCTGCTCCTCCTCCTTCTCCTCCTCCCTCCTCCCTCTCCTCGTCGTCGTCGTCGTCGTCGTCGTCCTCCTCCTCCTCCTCCTCCTCCTCCTCGAGAATCGACTTCAAGAAGGCCCCGGTGCCGGGTGCCCCCCCTCTCTACGGTTCAGTCGGGCCTATCCCTTTAGACAGGATTTTTTTTTTGTAAGCAAAAATAATAAATGATACCGAAGAAAAGCCAAAACCATAATCTTTACAGGGCTATAGGACTATAGGGCTATAGGGCTATAGAGCCATAGGGCTAGAGGTCTACAGGGCTATAGGGGTATAGGGCTATAGGCATATAGGCATATAGGGCTATAGGGCTATATGGCTATAAGGTTATTAGGGCTAAAGGGCTATATGGCTATACTTAGGGCTATAGGGCTACAGGGCTATAGGGTTATTAGGGCTATAGAGCTATAAGGCTATAGGGCTATAGGGCAATAAGGCTATAGGGCTATGGGGGTTATACGGCTATAGGGCTATAGGGCTATAGGACTATAGGGCTATAGGGCTATAGAGCCATAGGGCTAGAGGTCTACAGGGCTATAGGGGTATAGGGCTATAGGCATATAGGCATATAGGGCTATAGGGCTATATGGCTATAAGGTTATTAGGGCTAAAGGGCTATATGGCTATACTTAGGGCTATAGGGCTACAGGGCTATAGGGTTATTAGGGCTATAGAGCTATAAGGCTATAGGGCTATAGGGCAATAAGGCTATAGGGCTATGGGGGTTATACGGCTATAGGGCTATAGGGCTATTGGGCTATAGGGCTATAGGGCTATAGAGCTATAGGGCTATAGGGCTATAGGGCTATAAGGCTATCAGTTTTGGGCTATATGGCTATAGGGCTATAGGGCTATAAGGCTATCAGGGTTATTGGGCTATAGGGCAATAGCGATATAAGGCTATAGGGCTATAGGGCTATGGTGCTATGGGGCTATAGGGCTATATGGCTATAAGGCTATAGGGCTACAGGGCTATGGGGCTATGGGGCTATAGGGCTATAGGGCTATAGGGCTATAGGGTTATAGGACTATAGTGCTATAGGGCTATGAGGCTATCAGGGCTATATGGCTATAGGGCTATAGGGCTGTAAGGCCATAAGGCTATAGGGCTGTAGGGCTATAGGGCTATAGGGCTGTAGCGCTATAAGGCTACAAGGCTATAGGGCTATAGGGCTAGAGGGCTGCCGGGCACCCGGGCACCCGGGCACCTGGGCACCCAGGCACCCATGCACCCGGGCACCGGGGCACCTGGGCACCCGGGCATCCAGGCGTGCCGCCGAACTCGGCGCCACGGCTAACCTAACCGTATGAATCTTGTAGGACCCCTACAGAGGCAAGCTCTGATTGGGGAGAATGATACCGGAGAAAACCCCAATCAGGGCTATAGGCTAGGGGGCTATAGGGCTATATGGCTATTGAGCTATAGGGCTATAGAGCTACAGGACTATAGAGTTGTAGGGCTATTGGGCTATTGGGCTATAGGGCACCCCCAGGCACCCCCGGGCCTCCCCGGGCACGCCCGGGCACCCGGGCACCCGGGCACCTGGGCACCCGGGCACCCCCGGGCACCCCCAGGGCACCCGGGCCCCGGGCACCCCCGGGCACCTGGGCACCCCGGCGTGCAGCGGAAATCGGCGACAAATTAAACCTAACCGTATGAATCCGCTAGGACCCCTACAGAGGCAAGCTCTGATTGGGGAAATAGTCAGGGGACGATCTTTTGACTATGATTGAAAATGTTTGAGTATTTTTGTAGGTTTTTCTGTTGTTCGTCCAACATCCGCCTGTAGGGGGACACGCCCGACCTAACTCTGCGCCGTCAAGTGCCCCCCCCCTCCCCGCGAGAGTCAGCAGAGACTCGGCAGATAACATGCACTGCCGCATCGGCCTGCTGTCAATAGAGGTGGATGCCGAAGAAGACAAAACGGCATGAACATAAACTTTTGGTGCTCCGCGCGGATTTCTTGGATCCGCGCTGGGCCCCGCTGGCGGCGCCTCCGGCGCCGCCCTTGGCGCGCTTCGCGCGCCAGGGAGGGGTGTCCAGCGCCGATCCAAGAAATCCGCGCGGAGCGCCAGACGTCTACGTGTATGCCGTTTTTTCTTCTTCTAGGATGGCCGCCAGTGGCCCCTCCCCCATCTCCCGGTTTCCCGCCCTCTCCCTTACCTCCCTGTTGTCGGGGGCGGCAAAGAGGGCGTGATGACTAGGGTAGGGTGGGGTGGACATCATGGCGTGGGCCATGATATTGTAGAGGCCTCCGGCCGGTGCCGCTGATCCGGGACGATCCCGCTGTCAGAAGGACGCTTTTGCCCCAGCGCGCTTGTTCAAACGTAAGCAGTTTGGAAACAGCTTGGAGGCATTGCGTGGGCTTCTTGAGGGGCCTCTACGACGCATCTTCGAGATCTCCTTTGGGGGCGTCTTGGAGGTGATTGTTGAGCCTCTTGGGGGCCTTTTGGGCTTCTTGGGGGCCATGCAGGAGGCATCCTGGAGGCCTCCTGGGGGTGTGTAGGAGATAATTTTTAAGCCTTCGGGAGCGCTTTTGGGCGCCTTTTGGGGGCCTCTTGAGGGCCACTTTGAGCCTCTGCCTGAAGGCCCTCGGCCTTACTAATTGTTAGCAGCAGTTGTAAGTAGGTTTTAAGTAAGTTGCAACTAGGTTGCAAGTAAGTTATAACCATTAGTAATGTTACTAAGTCGGCTAACTCGGGCGGTGCATTTGGAGGTAGATAGCTTGAGTTAGCGAAGTTGCTAACTTCGCTAACTTTTACATGCTTACTTGAAAACAGAGCTGCTGCATCGGGTTTTCCTTGGATGTTGCCTCCAGAAACGCATGCATGTGTTTGGATTTTCGGGATCACGCATATCGGAAATCATGATCCAGACTTGCGTGCGAACGCATTCAGAATATTCTATCGAGCGTTACAAGAATGTTGTGCATTGCAAATGCAACATATCATTTCGAATTCGCAACCCTCTGTTGCACATGTTTTTGAATGTCACTAGAGTTTGGGCTCCAGCCGTTTGGGCGAGGATTGCTGCTGGCGCTTGTGGCGCCCTCCTGCACGCGGCGTGATGAACGCCTCCCGTGAACAGCAGATCGCGGAGGTCCGCCCCAAGATGATGGCCATCAAGGACATGTACTTGCATCCTGATGCAGCGGTGGTCTCATTACTTGAAGACGTATGCAGCATTGCAAGAGGCATAGACTGTCTGAGGGTAGAAAAAATACACTCGAAGTATATGATGGTGTGCACAGAGAATCGTTACGGAGATGGAATCATTCCGAGCGAGGTTATGGATTTGATTTCCAAGATCTTCAAAAATGGATTCAAGAACTCAGCCCTCCAGAATCCAGCTTGCATGGAACTTCCACCAGTGGGCACGCCTGAGTACAATGCAATCAAGAACTTCAATTTCAAAATAATGGAGGACTCAGCGGGCCAGCTGCCGCAGTATGATTGCGCTGCAAAGTTCGCATCCTATACGTGCGGCCACACATCCATGGGTTTGCGTTGCATCAACGCAGGGGTTCCAGTACCCACGGTCATGCCAGAGCGTTTCGACAGAATCTCGCACCAAGGGAAATTGTCACTGACGAGGTTACGGGAGGTTCAACCAGACTACGCTTAGGCGTGTGACGAAGGAATTGAGTGGAAGGTCTTTCGGTACGAGTTCGTGAAGGAGTTCCCGTGGATTAGTAATCTTGCTCAGGAGGCTGGCAATGCAGGCCAACAAATTGCCAGATGCGAATCTCGCATGAGTCTCTTGTACAAGATCGCAGCAATTGCCAACCGACACCACACGGGTGGCACCATGATCGATTGGGATAGTGTGATCCGCGAGGCGACTCG